GCACCGTGACTCAGGCGAAGGGGGTCGAAGGGGGCCCGGGGACCCAGGTGCTGTCCAGGGCCCAGAGGTCAGCTGGGACCTTCCCTTACACACCAGACGCTCGCGCTTTGATCACTGGCCAGGCCTAGGTACTGCACCTGTACACGAATCTCATGCACCGGGCCTCTAGTTTATCTAATAAAACACAATTCAAAAAGTAATAATTGGTCTTTGTCATTTCTAGTAATAAATCCTGTCTTTTTAAAATCATAGTATAAATTATATTCTTATGCAATATACAGGATTGCATTAACACCTAGTAGTTCTTAAACAATATTATCTAATAACCACATAAATCTCAAATGCAGCAAAAGTTAACAATATTTTTTTCTCATTTAACACATTTTATGTCACTTTTTTAAAAAAGATATTTTTTTATTGATATTTTACAGAGAGGAAGGGAAAGGGATAGAGAGTCAGAAACATCTATTGGGAGAGAAACATTGATGAGCTGCCTCCTGCATGCTCCCAATTGGGGGTCGAGCCTGCAACCAAGGTACATGCCCTTGACCAGAATCGAACCCGGACTCTTCAGTCCGAGGCCCGATGCTCTATCCACTGAGCCAAACCAGTCAAGGCTTATGTCACTTCTTAAAGACTTTTTAAAGAGAAGTTTTAGGTTCACCACAAAATTAAGAGGAAGATACAGAGATTTCCCTAAGACCTCCTGACCCCACACAGGCATAGCCTCCCCCATGATCAACATCACTCATCTGCTACAACTGGTGAACCTGCATTGACATATTACATTTACCCAAATTTCACAGTTTGCATCACTCTTGCTATTTTATATTCTATGGGTTTGGACAAATGTATGACATAGCCATCATTATAGCACCATGCAGGCTATTTTCACTGCCCTAAAAATTCTCTTTGTTCTACTTCAATTACAATACTCTTTTTACTCACTCAAATACATACTGTTCATTAAGCACTTAAGAGTAACAAAATGTATTTCTTACAAACATTTTTAAAAAATTTTACTATTTATTTTGTAATTCTCACTAACATCGGCGTGACAGAGAAACATCGATTGGTTGCCTCCCACACCCACCAAAAATGGGGGCAGGGATTGGACCTGCAACCCAGGTATGTGCCTTTGACCTGGAGTCGAACCCACGACTCTGGTGCACAAGCTGATGCTCTAACCACTTAGCAACACCGGCCAGGTCTCTTACATACATTTTTTAAAAAAAATATATTTTATTGATTTTCCACAGAGAGGAAGGGAGAGGGATAAAGAGTCAGAAACATCAATGAGAGAGAAACATCGATCAGCTGCCTCCTGCACACCCCGCACTGGGGATGTGCCCGCAACCAAGGTACATGCCCTTGACCGGAAGTGAACCTGGGACCTTTCAGTCCGCAGGCCGACGCTCTATCCACTGAGCCAAACCGGTCAGGGCTCTACATACATTTTTAACAACAATTAAAAGTATAATCAATCAGAAAATTAAAAGTATAATCAATCTTCAATTAAAAGTATAATCAATCAGAAAAGTGAAATATATTGCTATTAAGTCAGTGATTCTAATTTATTGTGCCTTCAGACTGGCTGTTCAAAGAAACAGGGACTTATAGGCCTGGACATGGTTAACCAATTACCAGGTCAATATAACCAATGGGGTTATATTTTGAGCAATCCAAAGGAGGAATTACTTCTATTATCATAGGAACTGAGAAATCACAAGACTGGTGTTCATAACAATAGCCATTCACCAGTTGCTTGCTACACAACAGACACTATACTAGACCCTTTACTTCCATCTTCATAGTGAATCTCTGACTGTCCATCTCAAATAATCTGTGGTAAAGAACCAGCTTTGTTTTATTTACAATCTGATGCAGACTGATACTTTTGTATAATACAACAAAAACAAATAGCTAGAAAAATGAAAATTTTAAATGTCATAAAATTAGAGTCAAAACACAAAAAATTACTGTCAAATTTTTATAAAAGTTCCTATTTCTCACTCTTAATTTCTGATCTTTAATAAATAGTTCACTGATGGGCACTGATATGCAGATTTAGAGTAGCACTATCGAATACAGAATAGGAATTGTTATTTTCACTCTTCTGTTGAAAAAAAACTGAGGCTCAATAACTAAAGTAACTTACTTGAATTAATTCTGATAATCAATGGCAAGACCAAATTTACCCAGAATTGATGACCAATTCTGAAGTTTCAAATAGATATGATACATATAAAGGGTTCTTTGGTTGCCTGATTCTTCTAGGTCTCTTTCAAGCCCTCAAGCACCAGTTTCTTCTTCTTTTTTTAAAAATATATATATTTTATTGATTTTTTTACAGAGAGGAAGGGAGAGGGATAGAGAGTTAGAAACATCGATGAGAGAGAAGCATCGACCAGCTGCCTCCTGCACACCCCCCACTGGGGATGGGCCTGCAACCAAGGTACATGCCCTTGACTGGAATCGAACCCGGGACCCTTCAGTCCCCAGGCCGACGCTCTATCCAGTGAGCCAAACCGGCTAGGGTAAGCACCAGTTTCCTAGTTTTATCTTCCTCGCTCTTTTCCTCTCTCCTTCCTTCGCAGCTCAGCATGCAGAAAAAAGACGTCTCCCCACAAGGTTTCCTGCGTACTTTCCAACATTTTGCCATGCAGGAACCAGAGCAATGGACCTCTGAGGCTGTAGCGACCCCCATCTCCAATTATAAGATCCACCACATTGGATCTTCAGTATCAATATTATTATAAGTTTTATTGGCCTCAAGTAAAGTTATTTTGCCTATAATTTCAGTATCACACCATATTTCTGTAGCACTTAATGTAAAGTTGGTGTCATTACAATAGAAGCCAGTATAGCAAAATAATTTTCTAAATCTTCCCAACAAAAATGTCCTTTTCCCATATACTATATATTGTTATTCACTGGGGTAGATCTGACAGGCCCAAATTGGGTCAATTCAAAATTCCACATAGATTGAGGACATAACCATTCATTCATCTTTCCAATTTTCATAATCAGATAATGAGATAGTTTCCCATTTTCAGTTAGTGTTATGATAATTGCTTTGTTGTTTACATGCTAGCTTACATGAAAAAGCAGCACACACACACCCCCAAAATAGCATTTACTATATTTAAAGTATGTTTTATTCATTTAAAAAGTTTTTTGCTAAGTAACTTGCTTAATTGCAATTTTTAAATTAGGATTTTGGCATTATTAATGTTGAGAAGGTAATATATGCCCATGGTATAAGACTTGAACACGAAAGCAAATAAAACATAAACAAAATTACTTTTCTACTGTAGGTTCATGGTCTCTACCACCACAGGAATTTTTATGCACATTAATCCATATATATCTGTCTGAAATGAATGCAACATGGTACTGCATATATTCTCAAAAAAAGTGGATGAATAACATATACATTGCTTCCACATTGCTTTGAAGTCTCAGAAATTAGAGATCACAACATACTAGCTCATATAAATCTCTTCCTGCTTCTTGGTCATTCTGCAGAATGACTGACCTATCTCCTATAGATGGATATACTTGAGCTATTTTCCATTCTTTTGCTATAAAAAAAAGGCAAAAGTAGGTATAAAGAACATCCTCGCTCATCTTTATTTACATGTAGGAATACATCTGAAGGATAAATTCCTCCAAGTAAAATTGCTGAGTCCTAGAAATCCTTGATACATAATATTAAGCTACCACCTAATAAAGTTTCCTCAATTTATGAGAGTAAAGCAGGCTTAATGTAGAGCATTTATATTGGTGCCATATTTTAAAGAATCCTTGATTACAATAACACTAAATAAGACATCTATATTTATGCAACTCAGAGTTTGTCCACAAATATTAGGAGGTAAACTAATTAGGACTGTGTTAGACTTTCCTGGTACCTAAGCATCATATCAGATAAACACGCCCATGTACAGTTATACATAACTCTTGAGATAAGTTGAGAGCTGTTTATTTTGGATTCTCCTCTTTCTTAATTGGCTTAATAAAGTTCCAAATCTGTAGCTAAGACTTTGCAGGAACAGAAATATTCCTAAATTCCCTAGTCCTAGAAAATAGTCACAGCTGTCAATAGGATAGACAGGTCTGTATTGTTTAGGGATCAAGAAGATTTTTGTTGTTTGTTTTAAAAGAGTGATCCTTGTGAGAGAGTAGGTCTCTGGGTGCGGGGTGAGTGGTAAACAATGCCATGGGACTGTTCCCTTTTCCTACAAGAATGTTGCTATCAATTATGGGACAACGAAAGCATTTTTTGGTAAGGATTTGAGGCTCCAATAAGTTGTTTAAAATCAAACTATCTTTTTTTCACCCGGAAGAGTTTTTCTGGGTACTTCAAAGAAGATAATGATGCTTGAAAAAAGCTCAAGTTTGAATAGCTGTTAGGAGGCTGCCAGAGTTCTGCTTGGAGACCCTCACTACAATAGCTTGCTAGAAAAATATGACCTTCACTCCTGTTTCAATCATGGCAAGTACCGGGTCATTCGGATAATGAGAATCCAAGCTACACATCTGGCAGCTTGGACCACGTTTTTTGTAAGGAATCTCCACTCTGTCGCTTGCGTCCGTCAGCACCACCCTCAGGACAAAGGGTGCTGGGGGCGGGGGAGGTGCGGAAGGTCGAGGGCAAAGGGCTGCAGGGAGAGGAGGCTATTCATGTGGCCTGTTTACAGGTTACTGGGTTTCAACACCAAACCAGTCTTTTTCCAAGTCTCCCGCGAGCTTCTGGCCCGAGGTCACACAAACCGCCCGGGTATCTCGCAGGAACTAGCAAGGCAGCTTCCTCCCCAGCCCGAACTCGGGAATTTCGCTCGCGGGGACAAGCACCACGTGGAAAAAACGGACTCTGCAAACCACCACCTGAACCGGGAAGGCCGGGCCCGGCGACGCTCCAGGCAACGCCTCCACTGCCAACCAATGAGGAGCGGGGACCGCGTCGGGGTTTTCGCTCATTGGGTGGCGCTGGCTCCGCCCCTCGGGCAGTGCAAACCCTCCCAGGCCACTTAAGTCCCCGCCGCAGAGTCGCCGAGTCCGGCTTTTGTGTGCGGGCTGCTGGTCCCTGGCTTCCTATTGGCTCCCTTTTGCCTGGTTCTTCTAGGTCTCTTTCCAGCCCTCACGCACCCGTTTCCTAGTTTCATCTTCCTCGCTCTTTTCCTCTCTCCTTCCTTCGCAGCTCAGCATGCAGAAAAAAGACGTCTCCCCATACGGTTTCCTGCCAAACTTCCAGCATTTCGCCACGCAGGCCATCCATGTGGGCCAGGAACCAGAGCAATGGAGCTCTCGGGCTGTAGTGGCCCCCATCTCCATGTCCACCACGTTCAAGCAGGGGGCTCCCGGCAAGCACTCGGTGAGCTGGGTCTGGCTGGGGCGGTCCAGGGTTGGGCGGAAAGAGAGAGATGGCTGACAAGTTTAAAAGGCACCCAAGTAATTTATAAAATGACTTATACATCAGGAAGGCAGCCGGGGCGGATGTTTGCTACGCCTGTAATCCTCCTTGCAATAAAGATTTGTATGGGATGGTCCAGTGATCATATTTCTTCTGATAAGCAGGACTAGAAGGAACAGTTTGTCCAACTTGCCATCTAGATTTGGCCTTTAATTCATGTGATTCTGGTAAATGTGCAGTTCAAAACTGAGGATCATAACTTCCTTGAATTACTTGTAGCAGCAACAATTATAAAAATATAATGAGTCGGCTAAAAAAAATTTAAGGGTTTTATAACTCAGAATCAAGATCATTTCCAGTAGAGGTATTCAATTGTTAATAGTTATTGAGTAATTACTATATGCTAGATACATAATTACATGCGTTATATCATGTGTATTCCATGTATTGTCTCAGATAATTCTGACAACAGCTGTAGTCTGAACCAAGTTCTCATTTTTCTCATGAAAAAAACAACAACAAAACCCTGAGATTTAGGGACAAATAACTAGTCCAAGGCCACAGGGCTAATAAGTTGAGGAGCTGGAATTCCAGCTGTGTTCTGGAACCACACTTTTAGGCATTCAGCGACATTGTGCTCTACTCCAATAATGCTAGCAATAATGTAACTCATTGCATCATTTAAGCAGTGTGGTTTAGTGATTAAAAGCATAGATCATGTAGTCAGAGGACCTAGGTTTGGGTTCTGACACCACCTCTTCTGATCTGGGTGACCTTGAGCAAAGTTACTTAACCTATTCCAGCCTCGGGTTGATTCTGTGTAAATGGGTTAATAATAGTACCTACCACATAAGTTGTTGATATGTAGGTTAAGCTGTATGGTACATTATAATTGCTCAGTAGTTTGGTATTTCATGGTGCTCAGATTTACACTTTTTTCATTGGATCCTCAAAACAACCAGATCCGGGGGCAGGGCGGATATTATGCACTTTTTAGAGACAAGGAACTGACCCAGAGTTACTGATAAATGACATGTAAGGTTTGTGAGAGTGCCCTCTTCGTTAACCACCTAGCCTTTTCCCTTCAGTTCGCAGGCCGACGCTCTATCCACTGAGCCAAACCGGTCTGGCTAGCCTTTTCCCTTTTGGTAGAATACTCGATGGATTTTGGAGTACTTAAAAGTGTCTGAGGTTCAGAAAAAAGTTAGTTAAATGAACTTTGTAGGTCCTAAACCTTGATTAAACTTCAAAAACCTCTTTACTGTGTTATGCTATAGTAAGTTGAAGAAAATTCTTTTAGATTTAACCCATTGTTTTGTCAGGTAGAATTCTAAGGACATTTCTACAGTTGGTTTAGGATACTTCTAGCTACTGTATTTTGGAATCAGTGTGTGTACACACAACCTGTCTTCCAGCATATGGTTTGTGCCTGATGCAGAGTTTTGTGAACGTGTGGCTGCTGGAGCTTCTGCACAAAAGTTAACCATGTAGCTATGATATTAATAATTAATGTTTTCAGAGAGCCAGCAGGGATGGTAAAATCCACAAACTCCACTTTATACCTTTAAAAAATCAGTTAAGGGCCTAAAGAGAATTTGAGGGGCTGAATGAGAAGCATCTAATTCTTCAGTTCCATTTGGAAAGCTATTGAATGGGCTAGGGCAGTGATGGCGAACCTCTGACATGCGAACTCATTTTTTTGGTTGATTTTTCTTTGTTAAATGGCATTTAAATATATAAAATAAATATCAAAAATATAAATCTTTGTTTTACTATGGTTGCAAATATCAAAAAATTTCTATATGTGACACGGCACCAGAGTTAAGTTAGGGTTTTTCAAAATGCTGACATGCTGAGCTCAAAAGGTTCGCCATCACTTGGCTAGGGGGTAGGAATTTGCTTCGAAAATAGGTTTCTCCCCACCCCCCCCACCCCCAAAGTTAAATTTGCAGTGAATATTTATGGAAACATGGGGTACCTTTCTGTGGCAATTGCCACATGAATACAGTTTTTTTCTGTCTGGTAAGTACAGCTGCAGGTCACATCAATTAAGTGATGGTGGGAAGAGATGAGAGTAGCTGGAGCCCTATAAAATATGTGTATACAGTTTGTCAAAAACAAGGAAACAAAGCAACAAAACAAATTAAAATAGATACTTATAACTAATACTGGGAGCTCCTGAATCAGAAACAAATATGTAAAGAGTGGTTGTCTTTTGTTATGTGCTATAGGAGGAGGGCTTTGTGGGGAGGGACGGGTAGGAAATTTTAAGAGTTTCATTTAAATCCCGGGTTTTAATTCTGGTTGTGACACTCCCTATAATATTTGGTTTTCCTTTTCTCAAAGCAGAGCACAAGGATTAAATAAAATGACTGGATGAACACATTTAGTATGGTGACATACACATAAAATAACACAAAATTTTAAAAAGTATTGTGTAGAGCTGCTTTGCCAAGAATTACTCTCCATTTTTTGAATCTCTTTTGTAGAGCCAAGATCTGATCCTTGAACATTTGTAGAATCTGTTCATAGCTTCCTGTTGGAAGCTAAACAGAACTTGCATCATTCACTTCTTAGGAAACGAAATAGATAGAATTTGGTTTACTCCGAGCTTAGGTGATTCCCTTTTCATGATGTCCCCAGATTAATGGGTAAAGATAAGTCTAACATAATAATGCTAATAATACAATCAGTTTTCTAGCATGTGCTAGGCACCATGGAGAGGACTTATATATATTATCTCATTTTATCATCACAACAGTTTTATGAACTAGATATCTGTAGTTTATTCCCATTTATTGAGATCGACTCTGGGAAATGTTAAGTAATTTGCCTGTTGGCATGTAGCTCATAAGCGGTAGGTACAGAATTCTAATCCAGTTTGGCTGACTTCAGAGCCTCTTCGTACCACAACACTGTTATCCTTTTTACAGCAAGACATGCCATAAATAAATAAAACTGTATTACAGTAGGCTGAACCCATAGTTGTGGAGTTGTCTAGTTATGACTGTGATAATAAACTTAGATTTCTGACTTCTTTCCTTCAGGGTTTTGAATATAGCCGTTCTGGAAACCCCACCAGGAATTGCTTGGAAAAAGCAGTGGCAGCATTGGATGGGGCTAAGTATAGTAAGTGATTTCCAATCCCAAGTTTGTGAAGTCTGGAATCTATTCTTACATGCATAGGGAAGATCACAGAAGCACAGAATGTAGAACTGGACTGAAATAAGGATTAGCTAGTTCAAAACTGTTATTTTACTAAAACATTGAATTTTTTACCCAAGGTCCCACAGCTGGTAGACTGTGCATATATATGATTATTAGGTAAGAATAAATATGAATCGAGACAAAATGGCAGAATTTTCCATTTGGTATTCATATAGATACTCTTTATCTGAAGCTGTCAATATAAATAGATAAAAATTAACTAAGTTTTATAAGACTACCTAAGAGAATATAAGCTTTCTTATATTCTGGTTCATTCACCTGATTATTTGTGCCTGAGAATAGCAGCAAGGCACATTTGAACTAGCAGGTACCATTGATAATGTGCTCTCAGAGATTAGAAATTAGTTCTTGAATCTTGTGTCTATTTTCATAAGGGAGTGGATTGCTACTAAATATCTTTGTATTATTTATGCAAATGATGCTAAACGAGGGCAAAATAATGAATAAACACAGTCTTAGGAGTTTTCTCACAGCAAGAGTGTAGGAATTAGAAAGAATAATGTGAATTACTGGGTTTGTTTGGGATTTTGGGGAGAGAGTTGGTTTTATTTTGGATGAAATTAAACACAAAATTGCTGAAATTTAGTACTGTGTGGGGAGAATTATTTTCTGCAGGAGGTATAAAGACTGAGTGTTTATATGTCAAACACTTTTTTCAAGTGGGATTCAGAAAACATGGTTGTTTTTAACTGTGCTTTGAAGTTTAGCCAACTATATGAATTATTGCAGTAGAAAACTGCAAGCCTAACCTACACTTCTCTGAGGAGATTTTTTTTTAATTTTATTTTTTGAAAAGTTAATTGGATTGTCCCTTCTATCAGTCACAGGTGATTTTTTTTTTTTTAATCATCAAGATGATCTATTGATACTTTGTCAGGATATTTTCTTCTATAGTGTTTAATGTGCACAATGTCAGTTATTTTTTATTTTATTCTGTTTGTTCAACAGGAGATCACATTTGTTTAAGAGAGATTCACATTAAAAAAATTAAAAATAAAATTTATTAAATTTATCAGACAGATCTCAGGTGTGATTTTGATCTTTGTTAAATTTGCTCAGTTATATATCCCTATAGTTAATGAATCATAGCTTAGCTCTATTCCTCAAGTTTGAAATTTCTTTAGAGCCTGATATTTTCAAACTGTAATTTAATTGGCAATTGTCCTTTTATCTCAGAATTTTATAAAAAAATTATTTCCTTGAAGTGTTTCAGAGAAATGTTATCTAATTAAAGCAGATTTATGTATTTTTAATTACATAGATATTTTATCTTTGAAATGGAAAAAGGGGTATTCTGTGATGGTATTCATCATGGGACTTCTTGAGACTCGGTGGTGATGACCGTCCTCTCAGCAGAGAGGGACATGAAGTTAATGCTGTAGGTGTTTTTAACCTATTGGTCTGACTTTTTGGTTTACTCTAACTTGGTTTTTATTTTAGGTTTGGCCTTTGCTTCAGGTTTAGCAGCCACTATGACTATTACCCATCTCTTAAAATCAGGAGACCAAATTATATGTATGGATGATGTATATGGAGGTAGGTGATGTCTTGCATTCGTGTTGTGTCAACTGATATTTAAAGATAATAAAGTGGGTCCTGAATTATATTAACAATGTTGCCAAGATGGGTTTACTTACTTTAGATTTGAGTACTGGGAAGAAATTGTTTAAAAAGACACTGATGTTTTAGAGAGCATGCTCCTTAATGTTTGAAGAATAGAGATTGTGTGTTTTGATAACATTTTCTGCTTTATGCCACTTGGTGTGGATACCAAGTATGTTTTATTTGACTCTCTAGCTTAAAAAAAAAAAAATCCAAGTCTTATATTCTTTACAATACACAATAGCCAAATTGTTTAACCAAAGTAGAATTGCTCTTAGTTGTATTTTTCTTGGCAACTGATGCTTCCTTTTATTTTTAAAGTGGTTATACCAATAAGGAATGAACATTTCTTAATACAATGTCCTTTCCATTTTATCTGATTCTCTTCTGCTTCAGGTACAAACAGGTACTTCAGGCGGGTTGCATCTGAATTTGGATTAAAGATTTCTTTTGTTGATTGTTCCAAAACTAAATTACTAGAGGAGGCCATTACACCAGAAACCAAGGTAATTCAGTTTTGTTTGGCTTTTTTCCCTGTGATGTTTTGTTTTCATCATTTCTGTTTACGAGGGGACATAAATCTGAATAACAAATTTTATTAGAAACCATTGGAAGCCATCAATAAGAATAAGATAGGTCTGGTGTCTCCTAGGTATTACAGCATAATGATTAGGTACATAAATTACTAGGTACACAAATTCTAATTTTGTATCATAGTTGGCATATTATTTAACTAAAGTCTCAATTTCTTCATGTGCAAAATGGGATAATTGTACCTGCTTTATAGAAAGGTTGTTGTGTGAATTAAATGAGATAAGGCTTATGAAATGCTTAGCACAATTCCCAGAGCATGGTAAGTATTAGAACATTTGTTAGCAAAAGCACACAATTCTTAACTGCATTACCAAGCTAGTATTGGTAACAGAAGTCATCACAGAAATTGGATTACAGAAAAGGAAGCTTGTCAAGCCCCCCAAATTCTAAGCAAAGTGGTTTTTTAAGGGTTTAAGGGATACTTTGGCAGAATAATAGAAGTAGAGAAAGGGCCACTAGCAATCTTTAGCCTCCATCCTGGGAAGCTTGTATGCCACCGGAAGGTGTTTTGTGCTGAAGTGAATGGCATATGTGCTATTCTTTCTTGGGACCTCATTTAAATTCTGCATGGGTAAAAGAAGGACCAGTGTCTTTTATAAGTCAACCCCTTCCAACTTTCTGTTACTGATTAAAAGGTTTGAATTGTACCCAAGATTATGTTGCAGTGACTGCTAAAAAATGAAACTATTTTCTCACACAAATACTTTGAAGATTAACACCACGGTGAACTTTGAGTTATTAAGGTTTATTTTCAAAAGAATAATTTTTTTTATCTTGCTTGGGAGAAAAGATACTTATTAAAATAGCTAGTCTGAGTCTAAGGAAAGAAAGCAAATCGTGAGTATATTAATTCTTGTCAACAGAGCTTTATGTACTGTCTCTTTACTGACTTGAATCAATCCATTTCCCCCTCCACCCCAAAATATTTGCCTCATGATTTGAAGTAGATTTTTTTGCAGGTAAACCTACTTTGTATTTATTTACTTATCTTTACTTTAATTTTTGTAATGAGTGGAATAATTTTTATAGATTCTTTAAAATCAATTCTCATAGAACATACATTACTTAATTACCTTATCTTTCCTACAGTAAAACTCAAGAGTTTTTGTCCATTTATCTACACTAATAAAAGAGAAACATGGTAATTAGCGTACGACCACTACCCTTTTCATTGGCTAATCAGTGAGTATATGCAAATTAACTGTCAGCCAAGATGGCGGCCGGCAGCCAGGCACTGAAGCGAGCA